ATGAGATTGGTACTGCAAGGGTGCCCTTTGTTCCAAGCAGCAAAATCTCAGGCTGTCCCGGATCTTTAAAACGCCCCGTCAACAAACTCTTAAGAGGCTTATGGTCCCAGTTTCCTTTTTTTTTTGCTCAGTTCTGAAAAAAGTACAAACCGCTTGTACACTGCTTTGGGAATTTATCTTGACTTTCTGGGCTGATGGTGGCCAAGCAGGCCCACGAAATCAGCTGAAAACTTTTAATGAAGAAAATGAATGAATTAGAAAGTTGAGCTAGTTTGATCACGAAAAGGTTTGCCGTAATAAAAAAAAAATGTGTTAGTGTTGCTGCAACACAGCCAGAAACTCTTTGTAAAATGTTTCAGTAATAATAACAATAACAATAACAATAACAATAACAATAACAACAATAACAACAATAACAACAATAATAACAACAACAATAACAACAATAACAACAATAACAATAACAATAACAACAACAACAACAATAATAATAATAATAATAATAATAAATAGGAAGAAGAAGAAGAAGAAGAAGAAGAAGAAGAAGAAGAAGAAGAAGAAGAAGGAGAATACATCATCAATTATCCTTAATAATAAGTCTGGCTCATTGACATTGCAGTTCCAGGGGATGCCAGAGTTGGAGATAAAGAACTGGAAAAACTAACGCAGTACAGAGACCTGGAAGTCACATCCAGGGGAGAGGATATTCAGCCGTTGTGTTTGACCTCCCTCCTTCCAGAAGCCCAGAAATGGGGAGGAGAGAGGCATCTTGGCAGCTGTCAAAGAGAGCACACCCCAGAGGTGAAGGGGTCGTGCACAGATCTCAGCAGTGGGGCTGAGGGCTTGCCCAGGAGTTTTGTTGGGGGCTTCGACAGCCGTCCGCTCCTCGGGTGCTTGCTAGCTGCCATGCCACCCTCAGACACCCTCAGGAGGGTATTTAACTGGTGGTAACCTATGGTAACCCGCATGCCTGGGATACCCTTTAGGGTGGTGGTAACCTATGGCGACCTGCATGCCTAGGATACCCTTTAGGAAAGGATGAAGGTCTCCTGATGCATGGGATCCTAACGGGATGGGTCGCCCTGAAGGCTGAGTTCTTCCATAATATTGCGGGAGCGGGACGAAGAAGAACAAACACCCTGAAGGCTGAGTTCTTCCATAACATTGCGGGAGAGGGACGGAGAAGAACAAAGATTAAGAGGGGCAGTGAAGCTGAGGACGAGCTCAGCTCTCCTAAGTAGAGTTGGTAAAGGGGTAGATGTTTGAAGGGGGGGGGGAGTCTGCCGCCAACGTACATCAGACAAGAATGCTGTGACTCTCAAACAGATATCCTTGAAAACAAAGGCCACTGAAGCACCAGGGTCAATGCTTCCAAAACTTCAGCCACCACCATGGTGTCGTATAGGTGATTACAAAGGATTCGAAGAACTGCCTTCTTTTGTCCTTTCACCTGATCCGGTGCCCGGTGCCTCAGGGGAGAGGGAGATATCCTCTCCCTTGGACGTGACTTCCATTCCATGCAACCTCCCTTCCCCTAGTTTAACCCAGATCTGCAGGTGGAACCCCTCCAGAGCATAAAGGCATCGCCTCAGCCTTGCGCAAGCATTGCGCGGATGCCACTGGAGATTCCCAGAGGACGACTAGAGTCACACCTGCCCTGGGTGGTCCTGCTTCCCTCCTTGCACACACACTTGCACTACGCTGGTTGCAGGAATGATTTGGCCAAAGACGAGGCCATACACCAATTCAGAGGCCTTCCTAAGCTTTGGAAGCTTAGCCTAAGCTTTTGGGTGCCTTTCGGAAGCCAACCGGAATGGGAGAAGAAGCTTCTGCAGGCAAGAGTTTGCTCATCTTTCACCTGTTGCTGGCTGGAGGGGGGGGTGTCCAGGGATATATTTGACAGTCCAGGTAATGATGGGTCTGATCTCCATTGGCCCAATGGGTTAAATGGAAGAACCTATGAAGTCCTATGTCTTCAGCAGCAAAAGGTTTAGGATTACAGACATTTGGATGAAGGAGAAGGGGGGACGTGGCAGAGTATGGCCCTCCCCCAGTGTTTACCCAGGAGACCAAACTGGTCTATTTGGGCTCTCCGGGTCGACCGCCCATTGGCTTCTGACTAGATCAAGAGAGTGCTTACCCACTTTGACTTCAGATCCTGTGATAAGTAATATTCTCAATTACTTTAAAAACTTTATTTTCAAAGGGCATTTTAAAGGCATTTTGGCAGCGGAAACTGTGGTTGTGGCACCTTACGAACAGACGTCAAAGCCCCTGTAATCCAAATGGCTGGTTTCTGTCATTCTGTCCTCCATAGTTTCTGAGGACGTCCCTGAAAATCATCGAGGGTGACAAGTGGACCAAAATCTGATCATGGAACTGGAAGATCAGATGCCCAGTTATGCCAATGAGTCCCTTGAAAAGGTTTGTTCCCCAGTTTCTCATTAAAGCTGCAGCCGTATTGCCTCCCATGAATGCGACTGATATTTGCACAGGTAGACTACAACACCCATGTGGCTTAGCAACCTTGGGAATGGCACCCCCACACCGGGTAACAATACCTTGACCACACTTTGTGATGTCACTTTGTCAACTTTATAAATATCTGGTCCAGCAGAGACTTGAGGGAGAGTCATCATGTCTTCAAGAGAGGAAAACAGCTTTCCATCAACACATAGGAAGACTTTTGTGAAGACCCAGGAAGACCTTTCTTCAAACAAGACAACCAGGGCAAGGAAGTCAATTTCTATTGCACTGCATATGTTGCAGTTGCTTTTGTACTGCTCCACGGAAATCACCAGTGACTACAAGTTACGACGACTCTGAAGAAGATATGAAATTGGAGGCATGACACCATCATCAGGTGAAGTATTCTAACAGTTTGGGGACTGAAATAGGTGGCGGGGAAGGATCACCAGTGACCGCAAGTTACATTGACTCTGAAGAAGATATGAAATTGGAGGCATGACACCATCATCAGAAAGGGAAGGTGAAAGGCAGCTTCATCCAGCACTTTGTCAGTGTCTTGTGCTTAGAAAGCCAGTCCAGCAGATGAGTGACCCACATCTGCCAGTCAGATAGACAAGGGCAGCAGTGGGAGCTTCTCCAGGCCACATGATGGTTGTCCAGCAACTTCTCTGATGCTTTTGCACAAGACTCTGGGAATGGAAGGGGTTAGGGTGGGGAATGAAGTTTGGTTCTCTTTAAACCTTCAGTATTTTGATTGTGATCCTCAGCCCATAAGCATTTAGTTGGGATTCGTTAATGGAGCACTCCAAGATGTATGGAACCATCACCAGAAATGGCCTGTCTGTTTACCCTTCTTTTCCCACTGTGAGCAACACTATAGGAATGTTTAGCCTGGAGGCAGGCGGTGCATCACGGCCTCTCCCAATTTGAAGAGACCCTTGTCCAGCAGGCCGAGGCAAAGAGGCAGTCCCGAAAGCAGCCAAACCAGGGAGATGGACAGGGGACAGATTGTATTTGTCTTCAGTGTGGAAGGGATGGTCACTCTCGAATTGGCCTTCTCAGCCACACTAGATGCTGTCCCAAGACCTCCACACAGAGCACGTCACCCTAGTCTCTCGAGACTGAAAGATGCTTAATCCTAATCAACAGAGCCCTGGCCATTTAAATATCTCGCTTGGGTAACAATTTCAAGAAATTTGACACCATATCGTAAGCAGTTGCAGATCTACTCAAGACTGAAGGATGCCTAATCCTAATCAACAGACCCCTGGCCATTTAAATATCTCGCTTGGGGAACAATTTCAAGCAATTTGATACCATATCGTAAGTAGGTACAGATCTCAGAAATCACACTATAAGAGCTACAAAAACTGGCAATATTAGGAACAGCATATACACTACATTGATATTAATAAATACTTAGGTTTTTTAGTTAAAACTGGTATTGTTAGGTAATACCAGTTGAAGTTTTTATAATTTTAATGTCGCTTGGGGAACAATTTCAAGCAATTTGATACCATATCGTAAGTAGGTACAGATCTCAGAAATCACACTATAAGAGCTACAAAAACTGGCAATATTAGGAACAGCATATACACTACATTGATATTAATAAATACTTAGGTTTTTTAGTTAAAACTGGTATTGTTAGGTAATACCAGTTGAAGTTTTTATAATTTTAATGGACTGTGCCATACTTAGGTTTTTTGGTTAAAACTGGTATTGTTAGATAATACTAGTCGAAGTTTTTATAATTTTAATAGATTGTGCCTGGTGTTTTTGAATAACAATAAAAATAATAACTAATGTTAGTAATTGTGGCATTCTTGGATATGATTTTTAAAAGGTCCACCGTGTCTTACAATAATTAAAAGATACAAAAGGAGGAATTATTTGCAATATATTTAAAATAAACATAATAATGTTTGGCTTTCTGTTCCACTTTCGGTTGCTTCTTCTTATTGTTGTTGTTCAGGCTGTCGCTTGATGAAATGTAGGGATTTTTTTCCCCTCCCTCCTTCGGGCTGAGTTGATCCATTTAAGACTAGGCCATTGAACAAAATTAAATCCCCAAATTAAATCCAATCCACACAAACATTTATGGTGGATCCAAGCCTTCCCCTAAACATAGTAGCTGGTTTTCCAACAAAAACAAAACTGCACCCTCATAGCACCCAGAAAACACATAGGTGTAGCGCTGCACGAGCAAGAAAAAATAATAATAACAAGGATAAACCATTTTTAATAGCCCTATCGTGGTATTAACACGACTACCAATAATAATAATAATACTAATGTCGGAAAAAAAGCGCGGCGGCCCCTTTAAGAGGCGCCGCTGCCCCTCCGCCCCTCCCCCCTCCAACTGCCCTTGTCTCCCCTTGGCTCAAAGGGTCCGGAGCGAGCACTCAAAGCCTTACTGCGGGTTCCCAAGCGAAAGGCGCCCCCTCTCAGGCCCGCTAGCTAGAGAGGAGAAGTCGCGTCTTCTGGGCCCTTGGAACCACCCCTCTTGGGGGGGTGGGTCGACGGGAAGCCGGAAGTGAGGGTGCCTGCGCGCCTTTAACTCTTAGGGCGCCTCCCTCAAGCTCTTTCCGCGGCGGCCGTTCCTCCGGACAAGATGGCGGCGGCGGCCTCAGTGGCCTCAGGCTTCGGGCCCGGCCTGGGGAGCCCCCTTGAGAGCCGCGTCCTGCCCTACACCCTGCACCGCTGGAGCAGCTTCTCCTCCACCTACTTGCCCGAGTGAGTCGCTCCGCTTCGGCCGGGGGGCGCAGGAGGCCTTCGCCGGGGCCTTGTGTGTGTCTCTGTGTGTGTTGTGTGTTTTGTGTGTCTGTGTGGGTCGAATAGGGAGGGCGAGGGGGCAGAAGCCGGCTTAAGGTTGTGTGTGTGTGTGTGTTGTGTGTTGTGTGTCTGCCTCTATGGAGGGGGATTCGGGTGCCTCAAGCTTGTCAGCAGGCGAAGGAGTCGTGAGGGGGGGGGGTTCATGTAAAAGAAAACGGGTCTCCTCTGGGGGGGGAACTTACTTCAACCATGATTTAAATTTTTTTAAAAATCGGATATATATATTTTTGGACGGTTTAAATTAAAAAAAACCCGGGCGCTCGCATTTAAATCGTGATTCAAACGACCTTTTAAATCGCGATACGAATGGCGATTTTTAAAATTGCGACCCAGATTGCCGTTTTAAATCGCAGGGTGCCTTGGCATTTAAATAGCGACGCGAATTGGCGTTTAAATTGCTAATTCTAATCTGAATTTGTGATTTGGAAACCACCATTGATTTTCTTTCCTGGAAAATTTGGACCAAGGCTCTTGGGTAAAATTGGTAGGATGCTGTATGGGCTGCATCTCTTCAGAAGGTAAAATGGGCTGATGTGGATGGGTTGCAGCCGGTTTGTGACATCAGTTTGCAAAAAGTTGGCAGCTCTTGCTCTGTGAAACTTTTGGTTTGTGGTCTGGGAAGTGGATATGGAGTTTCTCAGGAAAAAGGGGTACGTTTACTTCATGCGCCCTTCGCTGCAGGTGATGTGTCTTGTTTTTCAGGATTGTAAAGAAGGGATGGAGGACAGCTTTTTCTGCTTCCTGGGTCCTATTTCTTTCCTGGTCACATGCAATTTGATCCTCTGATGTTACGTGCATTGAAGTTAAGGTTAGGGCGGACAGGAGATGCCCACGTGTGCCAAGGAGCCGAGAGGCAGGGCAGTGAGTGGGATGTGTGTAGGAGGACAGGGGTGTGCAGGTATTAATGGGAACCAACATGTTGCAGACTTTAGGCCGGAGAATCCTGACCAAGCGCTGGATGCTGGAAAAAGGAGTAGGACCAGCAGGGAGCTCTACCGCAAAGATCTAGAGAGGAATGTGGGCGGAGGTGCAAGCTGAAGGGATCTGGAGGGCATTTTATGGACATTTATGTAGGACATTTATGTCATGAGAATGGCTGACGGTCGGATTCCCAACGTTCTCCTGTATGGAGAATGAGTGCAGGGAAATCACCCCAGAGAAGAGACCACAGCTGCGATACAAGGAGATCTGCAAGCAGGATCTGAAGGCCTTAGGAATGGACCTCAACCGATGGGAAACCTTGACCTCTGAGCATTCAGCCTGGAGGCAGGCAGTACAGCACGGCCTCTCCCAATTTGAAGAGACCCTTGTCCAGCAGGCCAAGGCAAAGAGGCAGTCCCGGAAGCAGCAAAACCAGGGAGCTGGACAGGGGACAGATTGTGTTTGTCTTCAGTGTGGAAGGGATGGTCACTCTCGAATTAGCCTTCTTAGCCACACTAGACACTGTTCCCATAAATGTCCTACATAGAGCATGTTACTCTAGTCTCTCAAGACTGAAGGATGCCTAATCATCAATGTACGGCTTGAGTTTGGGGAGAGGCAGAATGTGGTAGAATAATAATGAAGGGAGGATACGAAAAATTGATAATAAACTTTTTCTAAGAACAGTTTTTCATAGACAGAACTATAAATGGACAGCACTAGCAGGGAAGTAGAACAGGTATGCAGTATATGCACCCAGTGACCTTAAAGACCCATTCTGTTGCTGCAGAAACTTTGCACATTATGCCTACAGTATGTTCCCAAGTCTTCTTTAGATGTTCTGTAAACACCAGTTTGCATGGTTTGAAGTTCTTCATTAAGAGATTGGTTTTTGTTTTTTGCTTTTATTGAACCCCTCAATGGTGGTCTTGACACAAATTTGCAAGTGTATTTTGTTCTAGCTAATCTGTGCTGAAGAGGTTCCTATGCTTCTAATTTCTCTTGGAGTGTAGAATTACATACAATGAAGAAAATTTTCTCAAGCACATACTTCTAATGTAAAAAAAAAAGCGGAGTCACTTCCAGGAGACAGCCAAGAAGTGCTCATTTCTTTGCCTGCTAACTTTTCTTCATGCCAGAGTCTTCCAGATATTTTAACCCACTTCTCCTCCCTTTGGGCTCTGAAACCAGTAGTAAGCTTCCAAGGGCTGGGGAGAATTAATTTAGAAGGTGATATTTGTATGCGTAGGAGGGTTCATGCTCACTTTTTTTATTTAGTTGCCTCTTTTTTTCCTTTATGTGCATTAGGATGAGGAAAGATTTGAGTGGCTCTTCTAGGTCAGACCTGGGCAAAGTGTGGCCCGAGGGCCACATACGGTCCGCGAGCCGCTCCTGTCTGGCCCTCCAGACATCAAAACCATTTATAGCTTTTTGTCTAAAGTTGATCAGTTGCTTATCTTTAACATACAACAAAAAACCTCTTTAGTATTTGTGAAGATTAACAAGTTTAAAATAAAAACAATCACAACATCACTCTTTTGTTTTATTTTTAAGTAAAGTTGGTTTGGCCCCCAAACACAGTTCAGATTTTTCATGTGGCCCCCTATAGAAATTAATTGCCCACCCCTGTTCTAGGTCATCATTGTTTCTGAGCAAATATGTTATTAGAATGGAAAAGACAGTTGTCCTGGAAGTAACAACCAAGGATTGCCCTGTTTTTGAAATGTCATTGTGCAATCTATTTGCCAAATGGCATTTTGGCCCTTAAACCTGATGGCCAGAAATTGAAAGCCAGTGTAATTCTGGAAAGAATAAGGCAGAAGTATAAGACAGACTTAGCTATGACCCTGTTGAGCTAAAAGTTCAAAGACATCAAGAGGTGAGGAGGAAGAAAATACTGAGAACTGATGAGGTTACCTAATTTTAAGGAATGATGCAAATGAAGGACGACAAAGCAAGGGCTGTGTGGATGTGGATTAATTTGTTTTGCTCAAACAAAACAAACGGGTTATGTGGTTTGGATGAAACTCAGTTACAGAAGGCATAGGGGAGTATAGGAATGAAGTTGATGTAACCCATTAGTTTTCATGCTGTACTTAAATGAAGGCTAAGAAGGTGTGACTGCAGTTGCTCATGTTTGTGACCCTTGCTTCTACTCTTCCTCCCTGCTTTTCTGCAGATGGTTCCTTTCCATCCTCTTTGAATTTTGTTTTTAATCTGCTTCTGTCAGTGGACTGCTGTTACATTTGGAACCTGTACCATGTACAGTAGCTCTGTAATAAAAAACATTTCACATCTCTGGAGAGGAGAGTCTCTAAGTGGCATCATTTGGAGCAGGATTGGGGTCAGACAGCAGGTGGGATATTGAAATGGGAAAAATACAGAGTCCAGAACGAAGTCAGAGCTGAGCTGGTAAAAGCTTGAGAGTCTTCAGTACTGGAATGTGAGTACAGCACAAACAGGGTTGTAGAAAAGGCAGGGTTAAGAGGTTTCGTAAGACTGATGGTGGGAAAGTATCAAGGTCCTGATTTCAGAATCGCTACCTTAATACCCAGCCAGGGAGTGAGATGGCTGGCTAGACATCTAGACAATGAGGTTACCTAATACTTGAAATGGTTTCAGTACATGTGGTCTGTGAATGGTTCTGGTAGAGTCTCTGACTGATCAAGTTTAAACAGAAGAAAAAGTTTGGATCTGTTCTCAGTCAGTTGATGTATCAAGCTTTAAATCAAGAACATAAGAGCCCTGATGGATCAAGCCAAGAGCCCATCTAGCCCAGCTTCCTGTATCTCACAGCACAGGAGACAACTAGATACAGTACTTGTCTCATGGTACCCCTTCCTTGCATCTAGCATTTTGAGGTACTTTCCTTTGAAGCCTGGAGATTATATATCCCAGAAAGCAGTGAGGAAAAGGGGCTTTCATCTGTAAAAATTTGATCCTATCTTGGCTATATTTATAGAGAATTTAAATTATGAAAGAGAAAACTGTGCTTATTTACCTCTTGGTTGTGAGGTAGGTAGGGGCTGCAGCTGAAAAGGAATAGATTCTCTGTGACATTATTTCACCTTTTACTTATGGGCTCTGCGGTGAACTTGGACACACATGTGTTGCCAATGTTTGTTCATTTGATGTTTACTCTTGCAGATGCCCTCTGGTCTTAATGCTTCTCTGATTTTTGTCTGGGGCACAAGAGAAGTTTTTAACCTCTAATTTGTGAAACGTTTCACTTCTAGAAAAGAAGTACACCCTTCGTTGATCTGTTGGATTTTGCTGTTTTTAAGGATGCATCTACACATGTTTCTGTGCTTTTAATCTGGTAGCAGAAAACTGAAAGTGTAGAAAACATACAGAACATGGTGTGTTTCATTGAAAAAGATAACCTAGCCCTAGAGACATTGGAAATCCAGTTGTGTAGACTAGGCAGCTGGAGTGGAAACCTGGTGACTCCTTTTGGGTGGATTGACCTGGCCGGCTTTTGTCGTGCATGTGTAGGTTATTAATGATTCTTTTGTACTGAGCAAGTGCCTCTTCTAAGAGTGGATTTAGCTTTTTCTGATAAGGTAACCAATCAAAGATTTAATTTACTCTTGTGGTATGTTAAATAACATATGCACTTTTGTTTCATATACAGGCATACTTCAGTTTTAGTTTTTGTTTTGCTTTCGTTTACGAATTTAATGTGTTCTTCGGGATGTTTCATAATGTGAAAAATTAGCTGACCGAAACATGGTTTCCCATAGGAACCCATGCATGGGGGCGGTGCTATAAACCTCCCAGGCTCAGTGCATCCTGGGGAAACTTGCTTCATATTGTGAAAAAGAATTGTAAACCGTGGCATTCTTTTCAACGGATTTTCTTTCATAAATCAAAAATTACATTAACCGAGGCATTTGTAAACCAAGGTATGCCTGTAATGTTAATATATATTTTTCAAAATGCATATTCTTCACAGTCTCCTTGCTGAGAGTGACTCAACT